TTACTTGCCTAAGAAGTCAAAATCGGGCCAATCCTGGAATCGATTTGCTCCAAAATCGACCAGAATCGATTCGGTGATAATGCCGCGCATTTCAGAAACCGTCGGCATCGGCTTCAGTGACAGACCATATTCTGGGCTGGATGAATTTCGTGGAAAATACTGAAAATCACAATCATTTCGTTACTCCGTCTTGAGTGCAGTTGATGTATTTAATAGTTGACATCAAAAAAAAACAAACAAGCATAGCACACAGGATTATGTTCATTTTTATTACTTAAACCTTGAAAATTTCGGGCTAAATTAATTTTGGGTCCAAAATTTCCAATCATCTTTTTATGGCGGTTGAGGAATTCTTTTTTTCATAACTGCGAGAATTTGGCCGGTAGTGAAAAATCGCCTTCTGGAGCCTTATTTTCTCAAGTTTCATCGAATATGAAAAGTACAAGAACCAGCTTGCTGTTTATGGAGGACAGGTATTTTTTGTTCCAGTTCGTATAACTAATCGAATTTCTCCTGCCTGACACTGAGCGCTCAGAAATGGATTCTGTTCTAGCAAAATACACATCTTAAGGGCACAAACCCTGATATACGGGAAGAAGAGGACACCGTTAGCTTGACAGGTTGCATCGTTCAGTGGATCGGCGCAGTTCATTGCAGCCACTCGGACAACTTTATCCCATCCATGGATATCATGAGCCAGTGATTTGTACGTCTGTGCATAAGCTCGACAATGTCCGCACCAATCCGAGTAAAACTGAAAACAGAACATCCAGTAATAACAAGCGCGGGGATTTGGAACCGGAAAAAAACTTAAAAATTTTGACAAAAACCAAATTGAACGCGAATTAAATATTATTAATTACCACTTGTAACTACTGAAGTACTTAAATCAGCTGATAATCCATAATTATCTCTTTAGGCAATTCTTCCAGTTTCTTTGACCAGTGCTATATCACCTGCTGGTCATTCTACTGGCGACACTGCGCTGAATCAGGTTTTTTTATCCATTCTGTTTTCGCAACTTGCTGCTTTAATAAAAGTAACTTTCTCTATTAATTTTTTTGTATTAAAATTCAATAATTTTTCTGTACGTCTCAAAATATGCAAGAGTAATTTATAATAAAAAAATATCTAAGAAATTGCTAGAGCAATACAAAAATGAGAATAGAGAAGGCTGTCAGTTCGATGGGAGGACCCCTCCAAATTTCCAACGTGGAGCTATGTGGATGAGAGAGTCTCAAAACAGCGAAGAACGGAGAAATTGCCAGCTACATCAATAGCGAAAAGAAAAGCGACAATGAAAAATGACAGCTGAATAAAGTATAAAAATTATTAATAAAAAAAAACTATCAATGCTTTTTATTTTCAGATAGGCTGGGGTACCTCGACGACGTATGCAGTGCAGTCATCCGCCGTTGACTGCTTACAGAAGACAGTATCGTTAAAAGTCATTTCATCTAGCTGCATAATTGGATCCACTTTCGAATCATACAGGGTTGGATTGATGCCCAACGGTTGACGACCCATCGTTGCGATTTCGCCATAGACTGTTCTTGTAATAGCATTGAATAATGCATTTATTAGCAGTAATACTAACATCCTGGAAGAGCAGTTTTTGAAAAAAGTCAAGAAAATGAGTTCTTTTTTTGCTCAAGTTCGCTGGACAATTAAGGACAAGAACGAGTGACAGAGCACATCTCTTGTCAATGTCTTCGTTTTCAAGGACATTACTAAATTAAGCGTCTTAATTATTCCAGTTTTATATGAACAGGCTTGGAAGACAAGATCTGTCGCTGCGCGCAGCGATTTTGCTGTTGTTTTTGGCGCTAACAGGTCAGCACAAGCCACCGCTGACCTTATGCTGACCCCTGACAGTCTCTCCAATCACATGAGGTCAACGTTATTAATGGTAATTGGTAGTGTACTGTCGACCTGAGAGGGGAAGGTTGACGATTGGTGGAATTTTTCCCGAATAAGGGAAAAGCTTGTGATCGGTCGTCTTTGTTGTTTATAGCATCGCCAATTAGGCTGAGCGGTCAGCTCAACTTTCGTCCTCTGGAATTAAGAACTGGCGGCTATCCTCGTCTCATGCTGTATTTTTTCATCCCGTTGGCTAAGAGGTCAACTGCCCCTTCTTTCACCATCGAAGTCATGAGTAATACAGCTCCCGCGTTGTAGAGTCGTGGGTTCTATTCGGCGAACAGGACAAGCAGTTTCTCTACAATTCGTCCATTCATTTCGATGATAGACTGGTGCTGGAATTTTTTCAAGGAAACATAACCACCAACAGCCTGCTTTTATAAGCAACCCTAGAAAGAGAGAACTATCCACAATTCTGAATATGGATGCTTGCTACTGGCATTTTTTATCATCCGAGACATTTCTCGAATACCTCTGCCTATCACTGGAGGCAAATATTTGAAGGGGTTTTGAGTTTTAAACTTTTTGATATGACTTCAATAGTAAATTTTGCTCAGAACTGAAAAAAGCAGGAAATTAAAAGAGAGAGATCAAATGTGACGTAACCGTCGTAAAAAATTTGCAAAAAAAGACAAAGGACAAAATTTCTAACAGAACGTCGTGAGATGAGATCAATTGACTTCGAATTTTGATAGACTGTTCCTGGAAAAATCGTGATTTCTGCTAAATTGTCTACCGAACGCATTAGCGAATTGTTGCACATTTCAATTAATTGCTGTCTTTCGCAAAAAAAAATTGTCTGGTTTCTCATTTTATTTTCCTGGAATATCATTTTGAAGTTAAGAAAATACCTAAGAAAATACTGACTTTTTACTGTGGAAAAAATTATCACCACTTTTAAAAAATCAAGGCAAAATCCGTACGCAAGGCATGATTACTTATCTTGCCAGCAAGCGGTGGAAGACGTGCGTTAGTATGTGGTACCACTAATCGAGTGGCTTCCTATGAGATGGCGCACATGCACTGAATAGGTGATGAGTACCAACTAGGGATATGCAGCTCAAGATCGAAGGGTCTGGCACAGTAGAATAGCAGCTGGCCCTTGAAAAAATTCCAGCACACATGACTAACATGGGACGCCATACGGATAACCAGGCTTTTTTAACAAATAAATAACAGCGCATTCTGGAAGAGATTATAAAACTATAAACTTAAAAATTTCAGAATCAGCTCCTAAATATGCATGGTACCCGCGCACGGGTACATTTGGCGGGAAAATTACTAGCTTGAGAATTACTAACTCCAAAACCAGGAAAGCTGAAATTTTAGGGGAATGCTGTCTAAGGATTTATCCTACCCAAATGCTGTCTAAGGATTTCAAATTCAGCCTCCATTCACACATGGTTCTTACTTGCGAACAACTGAAAGTTTCAGCGGGAAAACTGTTCATTGAAGAGCTTGGCCACCTTCAAAGAACAACCGTTATCATTTTTCTTTATGCAAAATTTACGATGATTTATGCTAGAGAACGCAAAAGGCAAGTATAAACCAGCAACGATTCATACAGTTAACGACCTGTTTGCTTCAAGTTTAGTGTAAAAATGTAAGATCGCATTGGCGAACCTGGTGCGTACCATCTCAGCGCGCATCCAGTTAATGCAAAAGCGAAAATTTCCTACTATGCGTTTTTACCTGTATGCAAATGCCAAAATCATAGTGGTGGCGTCCTATGGAATGTAGGCTTTTATATATATATATACGTATGCGTGCATTGTGCGTGTATTTAAACTCGGCAAACAAGCAAGCTTTACAGTGCTGGAATTTTGCCAGTGGGCTACTAAAAGTAGGGAACACTTCTCCAATTTAGGCCTAGTTTGCACTTACAGCTGCCCACATGAAATAATCCCTCAGTTGGGTAAATACACCTATCTCAAGCAGTCAAAAAATTGTGCTTTCGCACATCCAAAAAATAATCATCGGGAACGCACAAGTTTATCCCTCCACGGTGCGTCACCCCGAAGCGGCAGGAGATGTGGAGGGGCAAGACCGTCATCCGTGGGTGTCGGTCATTTTAATACAGCCTGAGTGTAGTTCATATACATAAGCGCACGACTAATTCTGAGTGGACAGCTAACCCAGAATGCTGTTCCTGTACACTCCATCACCTCAATACTTCCTCTTTTGCATTCATTTTCACTGGACTTCTTAAGGCGTTTTGTAACATTAGTAGAAAACGCTTCCCGTGGAGACCCTCCCGTACATGTGTTTGTTGTTATGTGTTTTTTGCATCTGTGCAATGCAAAAATGCATATTGTCGAGGGGTTGTCTGTGTGTGTGTGTGTGTGTCTGCGGTTATGTATGTATGTATGTATGTATGTATGTATGTATGTATGTATGCATGTATGTATGTGTGTATGTATGTATGTATGTATGTATGTATGTATGTAGGTATGCTGTATGTGCATCTGTAACGAGTTTTCATCTCGAGATCTATAAAAGCTACAAGGCTGAAAATTTGGTAACTTAGTCTACACATATGTGCGGGCTCGTATCTTCAGAATGGACGCTCGGTTCCGCGTGGTTCTCACGTATGGCCACGTGAAATTTTTTTTGGCGGGGAAGCATTTCCGGAAACGGCGCAAGCTAGGATGCTGGAACTTCACAGAGATGTTCCTTGGCCACGTCTAATTCAAAGATTTCAAATTCAGTCTTCACACGTCCCTAGGTCTCACGTACGCACACGTCAAAGTCTAGACTGGCATCATGCCAACTCCAGATTTAAGCTAACCAGTAAGCTGTAGAGAGCTGCAATTTTGCAACCTAAAACCCAATTTTTCAGCTCCTCTGCACCTCACGCGTTGGACACGTGAAAATTCTACGCATGTACTTTTGGGCTTCATAACTGAAGCAGCTAGAGGATTGTGTGTGAGCAACCGCAAGTAAAGAAAACATTCACGTTGCTACTACGCACGAACACGTGAAATTTGACGTAACTTCACAACTAAGCATCTATAGTGCTGAATTTTTCAGGCACGGATTGAGAGTCATTGTAATAATTTTTGACAGTCGTGGTGGCTACTTTCAGTTCTCTTAACTGGAAGCACCTGCTGGAAGAACTCCTACCATTAGCAACAAAAAATTGCGAGGGAACTGTGCGAAAAACGCACCTTTGCACCGGCAGCCGGTGTGCTTTCGACTAGGTTTTTGTGTATGTACTTATGTCTGTATGTGTGTGCTCATCTCTCTGGGTATTTCAACTCGGCGGCCAGGCAGTCTTCGGTGCTGTAATTTTGCCAGGGGGTTTCTCGGCCACCTATCACTCCAAACCGCGGTGCGAACCTTCGTGTGTGTCTGAGCCTTGCATACGAGCACGTGAAAGTTTTGATAGGAAAATTGTTAACTCAGAAACTGAAAAAGCTGGAACGCTGAAATTTCAAGAATGTCCAATTAGAAATTTAAGATTGCAAGTTCAACCTCCAGGTATGTATGGTTCTCACGTATGGGGGTGTGGGATTTTTGCCGGGGAATTGTTCACTGAATAGCTAAGTCATTTTCAAGGAACGACTACCAAACAGAAATTGTTCATTCCCATTTATGCAAAATTTGCGATGATTTATGCTAGTGAGCGTACAAGGTAGGTGTGAAGCAATAACCGCTCATGAGTTAACGACGTGATTACTTCAATTTTGGTGCAAAAACGGCTAGCTTGGTGCGTCATTGCTACCGGAGTTCCCACTAGCAATGTGCAGCTATGTTTAGTTAATTTAGAACCACGGATCTGATGAGGCTGGATGTGAAACGAACGTCAGGATCGCCAGCAGCTGACCACTGGGCAATGCAACACTGGTCAGGGTAGTTGTAAAAATTGCTAGCGGGGAACCGGACTATAACTTACAGCTTGCCATGCATTCCACGTAAAAGCAGAACAAAGAGTACTTGAAGTGCTGGAACCAGAAATGAAAGAATTATGTTATATCGGATGGTACATCTGAATACGCACACGGGAGAAGAAGCAGGCAGTCTGTGTTTCATCCTTTAGCTGCAAATGCAGCTTCGGAGTAGTGTTTACGGCTAGGAGTGTGATTCATCAGTACATTTCTAGATATGGATGCGCATGTTATTAATTTCAAAAACACAAATGGGGAGATCAATTAAAACTGGAAATGGCTCATTCTTGGTCGTTTTGAAATGTTTTAAATATTAAAGCGATACATTTGATTAGTCATGCGAATTGCTAGAACAAAGTGGCGAAAAATGTTTAAACAAATAAATAGGAATAGTTAAATTGTAACACAAGGCTTAAAGAGCATTTTTGTTGAAACAAAAAGCGGTGACTAACTGAACGGAAGCAAGAACGCAGCTGCTTTTCTTCCCCACGTGGAGCACACATCAACAAACTAACTAGCTTCATCTTTGACCTTGACCACAATTCTAACATCATCGAACTGCACATCGCGAAACTCGAAAACAGATCTGGCGGGGTCAGGAAACAAAGTCGAACGATGGCATAGTTCAAAAGACGCTGCATCACATCATCTGTTGCGGTTTAGCATCTGTGAAGCAAGGAAATCATTTTAACCTTGAAAGACGAAATTATGGCTAAGCTCGGCATTATTTAGCCAACTAACCCCCAGCTGACCTCAAAATGTGAGTCCAATCGGGTCATAGTCCCACAGATA